ATATTATTTATTTAATATATTTAATATTATTATTTATTTAATATATTATTACATGTTTTCAAAAATTAAACCACCAAACGCAGTTTCAGTTTTTTTTAAAACTAAAATCAATCTCTAAATAAAACTACCAAACGCATTTTCAAAAATAATTCAAAAATGAAACTAAAAACGTTTTCATTTTCATTTTCGTACAGAAAACAAAAACGTTTTGGAATCAATTCCAAACGCACCCGAAAACACCTTTTTTTCGTTTTCTGATTTCCACAAAAAGACAAAAACGTTTTTGGTTTTGTTTTTTAAAAAAATTTGCACCAAACACATTTTTAACACCCGTTTTCATTTTTTTACTTTGAAAACCGTGAAAAACGAAAATGAAAACACAAACAAACAGGCCCTTTAATTCCTTAATCTGTCTTATGTGTCGGTAATTAATTTTTTCAAATAAAAAATTATTAGGCCATTTTAGGACTTTTATTTCATGTATTCATTCATGATTCTGAATTACGATTCATGATTCTTTACAGTATTTTTTTCTCATAAAAAATACATATAAAACGAGAATAGTTCTGAATCTATATTCCTATTCAAGTTAAGCTTTACACTATGTTTGGTATGAATGAAAAGTGGAAGGAAAGAAAATGTTGGAGGGATTTTAGGATGGAAATTAGTAAATTAACTTGTCTGGTAGAAAGGAAATTGGGAAGGAAAAGAAAATTGAAAGGAAATTATAATTTGTGGGTCCCACCATTTTTAATCCCTCCAAAAGTGGGAGGATTTTAAGAAGGAAAATGTGGATAACTACTTAAATTACTAAATTGTCCTCATTTTGGCTCCAAAATTGGCGTTTTTTTTTTTTTTTTTTTTTTTTTTTTTCAGAAATAAGAGATAAATGGGCAATGGGCTTCCTCTCCACTTAGCACACCAGGACACTTTGATGCAGTCCAACGCGTGCAGGAGAAGGAGTTTGGCCAAAGTATTTGGGAAATGTTTGAAAGTATTTGGGAAATGGAGAAACAGGTTTCACATTGTTCTGACGGCATTTTTTTGGATACAAGATATGAGTGTATTGGATTATAATTTTCCTACATTTATGCTATTTAAGATTGGATACGAAGTAAACTTTTTTAAATTATTTATTATTTATTTGTAATGTAATTTAATTTATTATTTTAATTATTAGTATTTTTATTTGAGATTCAATTATTACTTATTTAATATATTATTATTTAAAATATTATTTCATGTTTTTAAAAATTAAACCGCCAAACGCAGTTTCAGTTTTTTAAAACTGAAAATAATCTTAGAATAAAACTACCAAACGCATTTTCAGAAATGATTCCAAAATAGAAATGAAAACGTTTTTATTTTCATTTTCATACAGAAAACAAAATCATTTTGGAACGAATTCCAAACGCCACCTATGTTTTTGCACCTTTATATATGTATGTGTGTGTATATATATACATAATATAGATAGAATATATGTTTAAGTTACATGAATTTTTTGAGTTAATTTGATGTTAAATACTGTATTATTTATACTTTTATTAGAAAAGAATATTAATAAAAAATATTTAGGTAAAAAAGTAATTACACCAATAAGAATTTTTCTATCCCTTTAGTTTCACTTCCAATACTAAACAAGAGAAGGTAGATTCATTTTCTTTTTTTCCTATCATACCAAACAAGTCAAGAAAAAATTAAAATCTTTTCTATCCTTCTAATTTTTTATGCATTATAATTTTTCTTTCTCTCCCATTTTCTTTCCTTCTTACCAAACAGAGCATTTAAAGTCTAATCGTCTAACTTCTAACTTTCAAAGAAAAAAACAAAAAACAAAAACCAACCAAAGCCCATTTTTCTTTTTCTAATTTCTTTCTTTTCTTCCTTCCCTCCCTCTTTTTCACGTCATCTCCCTCTCACTCTCTCCCTCACTCTCTCTCCCTCTCTTTCTCTATCTCGTTCTCTCTCACTCCTTCTATCTCTCGGTTCTCTCTCTCCTCCGTGGTAAATGCAGTCCAAGCTTCTAAGTAGAGGGCTTTTGCTCCATTTTTGATGGGTAGTTCATTTTTAAAGTCAATTTCAAGATTGGAGATGGATTTTCTTGAGATTCCAAGAAGATTAAGGTAGGGTTCTATATTCCAATTTCTGAAAACCGGCTGCATGCCTTCAAATCCGAGCTCTAAACTCTTAGTTAATGTTTCCTTCTTCTTTAGCTTTTGGATTGGGAGAATTTCTCGTGGAATTCAAGAGCAAGAGGTAGGGTTTGTTTTGCTTTTTCAATCTTTTTAAAATTCTGTACTTTTCATTCATCTTTGGCATTATTTTCTGGTGTTGTATAATTAATGATTTCAAAGTTTTTCAAACATATCTTGTTTTGCTATTGTTTGATGAATCCTCTATCTTTCTTGTTATATTTCTTGAGATTTGATGATTTCTACTATTATATTCAAGTTGGGGTATGAATTTTGTCTTGCATGCTATTAAATCCAAATTTCTCCGAGAATTTGATATTTTATTTGACATACCAAACACCCTGTCAATGTTTCAGTTTTAGAAAATGTGTTAAAAACTCCTTTGATGATGCGTTCTTACTAGTGTGATTGCTCAGCAACTACTTCTATGGTTAAAGTTTGATGTTGTTCATTTTCAGAAATTCTTTAGCTTGAATCTCATGTGTTTAATGTTCTAATTCATAATTAGTCAAGTAATTGTTGTTCAATATTGAGTTGTGAGTGACTAAGGAATACTTCCCCTTTTGAGGTTTGTGCATAGTTAGGTTTGGGTTATAACACCATGTTTTGGCTTAATAAGATTCTCTAGCCTTTGCATCCTACTTATGAACCTTAAGAGTTTAGTTTGGGGGACTTAAGATTTGTACCAGCCATGTTGGAGTCATTAGTAGGGATTTTTCTTTTTAGTAAGCCTGAAGAATGATGGTTTAATGAAACATGTAAGGAGCTGCCCAAGGAAAAGAATGAAACTGTATCTCCTTGCTTAGGTTTTGATCTGTCTGATTGTAGGGCCATAAAATAAACATTATAAGCTTCGATTAGAGACAAGATTTGCCTTAAACGGATAACCGTAGCCTAATATATGAAATTTTGAAGTTGGATGTGGTTGTTGCAATTCTGCAGAAAAGTCAGTAATTCATGATCTGGTGTAACGTGTTTTTGGAGGCTTTAATGGAATCGAACCCAAGCTTATGATAACTCTTTGGAAAACCTAGACGTCTACTTCGATTAGGCATTGATTTTGTAATTTTTGAGGCTATGTCGAATATTTTATGATTATTTCCGTAACAGTCGCCAAAGCTGTCCTTTTTAAGAATTGATAAAACAAGAACCGAGATGCTCACTTTATGATTTATAGTTGCTGCACCTAAACCGTCTTCTTTACCACTTAGAACAAGTTATTAGTGACATGTGGGAGTTGGAATCACCTAATTTGGAGTTTTGTAGCCCGAGTTGTGCGCATTGGAAGTTTCTTGTTCAAACTTTCCAACCACTGTCAAATCAGGAAAAAAACAGAATTTTAATTTCTTAAAAACTGTTTTTGAGGTACTTACAGAGCTCGGATCAACAAGTGTATAGCTCATCGGAAAGATCTACGTGTCTACTTTCTTTTGGAGTTGATTTTGTAATTTTTGGAGACTAATAATATCCTATGAATATTCCCGTCTAAGTTGACCATCTGCCAATTTACTGTTTTCATGAAGAATATGGATTCGAGTTAGAAATTGATTTATGACTGAACGATTGATAGTTTGGAGCCTTTGAGGTTATTTTAACACTAAGTATGTGGTTCTTAATGGGATATGACGAAAAGTGTTAGAAGAGGATAAATTAACACTTGACATCTAATGATATATTGTGGAAACTTAATAGATCTTATTGGAATATGACACTTTTGCATTGTTGGTTGTGCATACATGAATACCTTATAGATAATTGAAGCATGTTTATTTCTTGAGTTTTGATCTTGTTCCAGCATGAGATTGCACTGAGCCTGTGTAAGTTATTTACTTAGTTTTTGTTTTTCCTTAATCGGTTTTGGTATCAGGACGTGTCCTACAGTACAAGTTAATACATGGTGCAGTTAAACTTGAGAATTTGTTGTCAGTGTCAGTTTCACTTTTTTTGGACTCCATTTGATGAGTCCATGTTCTGTTATTGATATTTACCAGTTTGAAATTCAAAGTCAAAGTTTGACTTTGAAATTCTCATGAAATTTTTGAATTTCAATTTGATGATTAGTTGATTTGCCATTGCTTATGCTATTAAGCTTTGTACGTTTGAAATTCAAAGTCAAGGTTTGACCTTAACATTTTCTTGAAGTTTTCAGTTTTAAAATGATGTTTGATTGACTTCCACTTGTTTTTAAATTCTCGAAATTGGTTCTTTTCACAACATGATGCGCCCGACGTAAAGATTGATGTCGATGGAGAGCGACGGCTTGGATTTCAGCAGTTTCCGATTGACCAAGTTTTCTCCCTCCTTGTTTTGTTTTTCTCATTTTGATTGATACGCAAGTTTAGTCTTGTAATCTCTAGTCTTATGTCCTAGCTACTTGTTCCGATTCACTGATGCATTCCTTTATCTCTTAATGGTGATTTGTTCAAGAATATTTACTTAACAAATTTTCTCATATCGGTGAGATTTCATTCTTTTATTCTGTTGATGATGATAGTTGCTATGGACAGCATCACAAGGTGACTCTTATCTTTGTTATTTTTTGTATTCGCCTTTCATCAAGAAGTGTAGTAGGCCATAACCCACAGGTTTCAGGATCCAATCCTCTGAGTTCTATTTCGATTCTGTTTTGACATAGAGTTTGTCTTTCTAATTGTTAATTGTGTTTCAACTCGTGTTTGCTCTCTATCATGATACTATCCAAAACAAATATTGAAATTGCATCTAGTTTTAATTGTTAGTCTTAACTACTCCCTTACTGACTTGAGACGTGCCGTGTTCCTGCCTACTTATAAATTGTTGATTGATGACTCTAGATATTATATATCTGTATTGTCTTCTATTTTTGTTTTAAGATGTAGTTCATACTCCTAATCCCATCCTTAATTCCGGATGGAACTGGACTTTGTTCTATGCTTTTCTGGATATACTCATATTTACAGTTTGTTTTCTCGAGTTCAGAGTTGTGTCTAACCTACTCTTGACATTTGATTGCGTCACTCCTTGTTTCGTATTCAGATTCGAGCTAAAATTGTTAACATCTTGGTTTTGGCCTTTAACTTCGACCATTTACTTTCTTTTAAATTCTGAAGACGGAATTTCTGTAAGGGGGTAGGGTTGTAACACCCGATTAAATTAATTTGAGTCGGTTGTTAGTATTAATTAATTGAAAATTTGTTATTCATTTTCAGTTATGATTATTTCATTAAGAATTTTTTGCATTTAAAATAATTATTTTTAAATTGACGTTTCTGCCCCTCGATCTTTTTTACGTGCCGGTAGCTAATTTTCCCCAACAGAAACTATTAGGCCATTTTATATTCATATTTAAGTTGGGCTTTAAAGTCTAATTGTCTAATTTCTAATTTTCACAAAAAAATGTAAGCCCATTTTTCCTTTTCTCTTTCTTTCTTTTCTTCCTTCCCTCTCTCTCCTGCTCACACTCTCACGTGATCTCTCTCCCTCTCTTTCTCTATCTCTTTCTCTTACTCCCTCTATCTCTCGGTTCTCTCTCCCTCTCCTCCATGGGAGATGCAGTCCAAGCTTCTAAGTAGAGGGCTTTTGCTCCATTTTTGATGGGTAAATCATTTTTAAAGTCAATTTCAAGATTGGAGATGGATTTTCTTGAGATTCCAAGAAGATTAAGGTAGGGTTCTATATTTCAATTTCTGAAAATCAGTTGCATGCCTTCAAATCCGAGCTCTAAACTCTTGGTTAATGTTTACTTCTTGTTTAGCTTTTGGATTGGGAGAATTGCATGTGGAATTCAAGAGAAAGAGGTAGGGTTTGTTTTGATTTTTTAATCTTTTTAAAATTCTTTACTTTTCATTCTTCTTTGGCATTTTTTTTTTTATGGTTTTGTGTATAATGAGTGATTTCAGAGTTTGTCAAAAATCTCTTGTTTTGCTGTTGTTTGATGAATCCTCTATCTTCCTTGTTATATTTCTTGAGATTTGATGATTTCTACTATTATATTCAAGTTGGGGTATGAATTTTGTCTTGCATGCTATTAAATCCGGATTTTTCCAAGAATTTAATATTTTATTTCAATGTTTCAGACTTAGAAAATGTGTTAAAAACCCCTTTGATGATGCGTTCTTACTAATGTGATTGCTCAGCAACTAGTTCTGTAGTTAAAGTTTGATGTTGTTCATTTTCAGAAACTCTTTAGCTTGAATCTCATGTGTTTATGTTCTAATTCATAATTAGTCAAGTAATTATTGTTCAAGATTGAGTTGTGAGTGACTAAGGAATACTTCCCCTTTTGAGGTTTGTGCATAGTTAGGTTTGGGGTTATAACACCAATGTTTTTGCTTAATAAGCTTCTTTAGCCTTTGCATCCTATTTATGAACCTTAAGAGTTTAGTTTGGGCTGACTTAAGATTTGGACCAGCCATATTGGAGTCATTAGTAGGGATTTCTCTTTTGAGTTAGTGTGAAGAATGATGGTTTATTGAAACATGTAAGGGGCTGTCTAAGGAAAAGAATGAAACTGTATCTCCTTGCTTACGTTTTGATCTATCTGATTGTAAGGACATAAAATAGACATTGTAAGCTTCGATTAGAGACAAGACTCGCCTTAAACAATTACCGTAGCTTAAGGTATGAAATTTTGATGTTGGATGTGGTTGTTGCAACTCTGCAGGAAAATCAGCAATTCATGATCTGCTGTAACGTGTTTTTGGAGGCTTTAATGGACTCAAAACCAAACTTATGTAGCTCTTTAGAAAGCTCTAAATGTCTACTTCGATTATGCACTGATTTTGTAATTTTTGTGGCTATGTTGGATATTTTATGATTATTTATGTAACAATCGCCAAAGCTGTCTTTTCTAGAAATTGATAAAACAAGAACCGAGATGCTCACTTTATGATTTATAGTTGCTGCACCTAAACCCTCTGCTTTACCACTTAGAACAAGTTATTAGTGACATGTGAGAGTTAGAATCACCTAATTTGGAGTTTTTTTAGCCCAAGTTGTGCGCATTCGAATTTTCTTGTTGAAACTTTCTAAAAGCTGTGAAATCGAAAAAACCAGAATTTTGATTTCTTAAAAGCTATTTTTGGGGTACTTACAAAGCTCGGATGAAGGCTATGTGATAGCTCATTGGAAAGGTCTACGTGCTTACTTTCTTTTGTAGTTGATTTTGTAATTTTTAGAGACTTAGATAATATCTCATGAATATTCCCGTCTAAGTTGACGAATCTGTCAATTTACTGTTTTCATGAAGAATATGGATTCATTCAAGTTAGAAATTGATTTATGCCTGAACGATTGATGGTTTGGAGCCTTTGAGGTTATTTTAACACTAAGTATGTGGTTCTTAATGGGATACGACGAAAAGTGTTAGAGGAGTATAAATTAACACTTGACATCCAATGATATCTTGTGGAAACTTAATAGATCTTATTAGAATATGACACTTTTTCATTGTTGGTTGTGCATACATGAATACCTTACAGATAATTGAATTATTTCTTGAGTTTTTATCTTGTTCTGGCATGAGATTGTGTTTCTCTTCCTTTTTGGACTTATTTCATGGATTTTCACTTCTCTGTTTAAAACTCGGTCTACTCTGACTTTGAGAATTTGAAAGGATTTTCATTTATAAATGTACATAAATATATATAGAGATTATATATGAAAAATCTTCCCAAAAACCTAAATTCACGGGTCATGGTTTTTGGAAGAGAATTTTAGAAAAAGAGAAATGAATTTAGTCTTGGATTGGGACAATTCGAGCACAAGATAAATGAGCTTTTAAACGCTATCTAATAAGCATTTTAGATAGTTGGTTTTAGTATGATGACCACAGAGATCAGGATATGAAGATCGTGTACTTGGGGGCAGGTCTCGAAACCCGTACGGGCCACTCCGCAGCGTGGATGGTAAAGCTTTGCACTAAACTATGTATTGGTACTTTGATACGAGTATTCAAACTACCGACGTATGATTTATTCTTTAATTATCTGTCTTTTGATTTGAACATCTAAGTGTCTAATAGAATTACAAAATACCTAGTATTTTGTAGACTATTCAGATAGCGTATTCCATCACTTTTGAAATGGATTTTAAATTGATATAGTATTTTGAAAAAGTTTTCAAATACTTGATTATCCGCTTGATTCGGCATTCAACTGCATCAGTTTTGATTTGATTATTTTTCACATGTTACCATTTCTTGCATTTGAGTTATGCATTTCATGTCGATTGTGTCTGACTTGCCATGATTATTTTACTTTGTTTTATTGTTGTCATTCCTGTTTCCCCTATTAGACATTTGGCTCATTCCTGTTTTTATTTTTTTCCCCCTCTAGGGTTAGCAGTTTGATTTGCAGCACAATATTGACTACAATATACTGAAGGCTCGAGATTTGAGATGGATTGTTTTATTACGATTTCATTTTTTTTTAATTATGAGTTGTACTGTATTTAGTGTATGTAAACAGTATTAGTCAGTACTATCTCAGAGTTATATTATTATGAGAAGTTGTATATATTTTAGAGTGTTTTGTAATTACTTTTTTTTAAAATAAAAAAAACCTCTTTAGGTACCATCCGTCATCCAAGTGGGGAAATAAATACCAAAATGTAAAATGGACTTCTCAAATCTAACATCATTACTGTCATTATTTTTCCACCTCTAATTTAGATTGTGATGAACCCAATATTTGTGCTTGTGGGCGCTTCAATATGTTTAGAAATCTTAAGGTCTCGTTCATTTCGTCGATTTGAGTTTAAAATTCGAGTTTTATTATAGTAAAAAGCTTTCAGAAACAGTCATATTTAACTTTTTTGTTACAGTAAAACGCTCTTACAAAACGTTACATCTTAATTCGAATTAACAAATTAAACGGGCCTAAAAATATTCTCACAACAAGAACGGTTAGAAATACTTTTTTTTTGGAAAACAAAAGGAGATGATAATTATATGAGGACAATGGTAATTCTTATAACAATTAGTACGTAGCAAACCTGCATGAGTTGGATAAAGATAACATAAGTTGATCCAAATAACTTCTACGGGGGACGATAAATTTTCTGGGAAACAATCTATCACGCATTATTATCATGATTTTATATGTTAAGAAATAAAAGCATTCTCCAATTTGATTAAAATTTATTATTTTCTTTATTTTTTTTTTGTTCCCAATCGCGTCCAATTTGGCACTCCAAAGGGGATTGTAAAACACAAAAATGCGTCACAACTTCTGCCTTTTTTTTTCTCACACGACACAGATGGCAAAAAGTAACACGTGTTGCGTGATCAATAATTTTATGTCATTTTAAGTATTATTTATTCATATTTTTTGACACTATTCCCCAAAAAATTATCTTTTGCGGACCCCACCATCACTTCTCGGTTTCTCCTCTCCTTCCTATTATCATCTACTCTACTATTTGTTGTTCTTCATAGAATGTTAAAATTTAAATACATCTATTTTAAACTCTTTTCAAATGCTAGTCTTTTTTTTTTTTATGGATGGGGTAGCTACTTTACTAGCTCCAGAAGATCAACTGTCCCTAATTAGTAGAAAAAGAATGTCGATTAAAAATATCATGACCATATGTAATTTTGATAAAGTAATTTATTTATGCATACACAGATTGAGAAAGCACATCTCATGATACAATAATTATCGGCTGTATGTGAACCACGAACGGATTTTCCAAAATTACCTGAAGGTTACTATTCTACAATATTCATTTATTAACTTTTTGACATATTATTAAATGTTCCTTGTAGTGCATAATTATTTGTGTATCTCCCTTCAATAGGAAAGTATAAGAAATATTAGAGTCACTCTTTTTTTTGTGTACTTTTTCTTGTTACTTCTTTATCACTTTCTACATTTATTGTTTAATACGTGAACTTTATTATCTTATTTTTTGTTAAAATAAAAATATATCATGTTAATAGAGTGTACATGTTAAATAATAAATACAGAAAGTGACAAAGAGATTGACAAAAAAAATGACACTAATATTTCTTTAAAAAAGTATTATTTGGTTGATGCATGAAAACACCAAATAAAAAGGTTTTTAGGACCATATAAAGGTCAAAGATGCCATCTTCTACAATTTCAAGATGGTCGTCAAACTACTGGTTACAAAAAGGAAGTCAGCCACGCACATTCTTCTCTTAAGAGTGTTATTGAACACACCTTTGAAGTTTGGAAAAGAAAATAGAAACTTTTGAGAGACATGCTTTGCTATCTCTGTTCGAAAAGCAAGTAAAAATGATCATCGTACTCCTCAAACTATTTAAGAAAGTATGCTGGACGTGATCGATAATTTGAAAAACTTATATAGACAATTCAGATAGCATCATTATTGAAGAGAATTAATTTAATATATATAATGAAGATGAACATCGAGCAACTGGTGTTTTAAGGTCACAAGATTTGACAAATTAAGTTATCATATTATTGCAAGCTTAATGAGATTATAGTGTAAAAGTTGATAAAGATACTTTTTTTGATGATATGTCTTTTACATGAAATGAGAGCCCGGGTCATATGGTGATACACATATCATCAACAATCGTTTTGATAGAAGAATATTGTAAATCAGAAAATGAAATTGTTACATACTATAGTAATTTTATACTTAGTTACTATGAGAAAAAAATTAAAAAATTAAATATTATTAAAATTCTAGTGAGAAAATGACGGACAAATTTAGAAATTCAATTTATGCTCTAAACATGTATTTTTAAACACTTGCGATTAAAGTATTGATAAAATTTTAGAAATTTATGAATATGTATATGCATATAGTAAAATTACATTTTACCACGTCTATAGTGAAATTTCCGGGAAATGTGAACATATTCCTCAAGCAGAGAACTGTTAGCCGGGTAATGTGAATTGCGACATCCAAGTTTCTCAAGATTAGTCATGCACAAAACTGTAATTTTCTTTTGTTTTTTTTTTGCTAATAATATAAACAAACTTACATAAAAGATGCCAGAACTTGCATCAAGAACTGGTGAACCAAAAAACCAGGAACCAAATGCATCTCCAACGCCCATTTCAGAACAACAAAAGGTCAATTCTCTAGGCTTTCCACTTCAGCAACACAGCCATCTGCGGGTTTAATCTGGTTAAAAACCGCCTCAATGGCCTCAACAGAGCCCCTAGATAAATCCATTAACGCTTTGAATACATTGGGAAGACTTGTTTTTAGGTTATTCAGAGTCATGGCTTTGGTGGCCTGCACTGACTTCATATATCTGGCCTTCTCATTGTCCACTTGCTTCCTTAACGCTTTGGTTTTGGCGCGCTTGAGTGTCAAAGGATGCTTAGGGCTCAAATTGGAGTCCCCATCCTCACCGGTGAAGCCACCCTCGAGTTTTCTCTCCATCTCGGCCAGCGACTCCAGCTCCTTCTGTAACCTTTTCTCCGCTTTTTCGTATTTTCGTTGTAGGCTGTACTCCTCTTCCTGCTGGACGACGATTGAGTGGATGGCAGAGCAAAGGCCCTTTATTGCTTCTGAGGCTGCCTGCACGTGTTAAAGGCAACAGCGACGCTAACTTCTCAAATGTGAACAACATATAAGATTTAAAATAAAAATACAAAGAACTCGTAAACACCATAAGAAATTTAACTAAAACGACAGCATAAATTTCATGTAGTAGTCAGATTTAAAAAATCTAACGATTCCAATGAATAGCTCTGATTAGAGTTCCTGGATATAGTGTTTTGTGATGTTATTTTTATCTAAAATCAAACACAAATTCATGACAAACCAAGAAACAGTCTATTTATTACAAAATATCAAATAGTGCGCGCGCACACTTTTAGCACTATACAGGATCCAGTAGCAATCAATGTGGGAGAATGTGTTTTATACGTGTATAGACTAAATTAATAAAGTTTGAATATAATAGTTAGTTTCCCTAGAATTAAGTTGATTTGGTTAGTTTCTGTTTTTGTTGGGATATCCCACAGATTATGGGATGAGATCTAACCTAATAATTGCCGTTTCTAAGGCTAGGGCTTTTGTATATAAACCCGGTTGTAATTGTAGTGCAATAATACACCGTTTCTAAGGCTAAGGCTTTTGTATATAAACCCTGTTGTAATTGTAGTGCAATAATACAATTTCTTCAATTTTTTACTCTCAATTTGCATCATGATATCAGAGCCCTAGGTTTCCTAGGTTACTTTATTTTTTCTTAGGCCTTCATTGCCGTTTCTTTCTTGGCTTTCATTGCCAAGCCTCATCACAAGCCCTTTATTGCCCATATCCATCATCACTCTCCCCAAAAGCCTTCATTGCTGCTGTTTTTTTTTTTGAAGTTCCATTGATTCGCTGCCGCAACTTTGACCACTGCCACTCTGAACGGACACACCGAAACTGCTGTTGTCTCTGTTCGCTGCTGTCGTGTTCTGATCGTGGCCTTCATCGCCAAGGGTTGTTTTTTCTTTTCTCTACCCTGTCGCCACTGCTGTCAAGACGCTTCTGTAAGAGAGTGCCTGGATTGTATCAGCCTTCATCGCCAAGGGTTGTTTTTTCTTTTCTCTACCCTATCGCCACTGCTGTCAGGACGCTTCCGTAAGAGAGTGCCTGGATTGTATCAGCCTTCATCGCTGGTATTCTACTTGACACAACCAGCCTTAATTGCCTGGAGACCACTTGGTTTGATTGAGGATGTCGGAGGTGGAAGAGACAACCGCTACAACACGGTCAGAGGATGCAGAAACCATTAGGCCTCAACAAGTAGGGGAATTGCAGAACATTCCGGCCGCATATAGGCTGGATGGAAAAAACTACCTTAAATGGTCCCAACTTATTCGGACTGTGCTGAAAGGGAAAGGAAAAATCAGCCACCTCTTAGGGACAAGACCAAAACCGGAAGATCCACGATTTGAACGTGGGATGAGGAGGATTCGATGTTCATGGCATGGCTGTGGAACTCCATGACTCCGGAGATTAGCGACACATGTATGTTCTTGGCCACTGCCAAGGATATATGGGATGGAATTCAACAAACATACTCCAAGGTGAAGGATGCTGCTCAAGTCTACGAAGTCAAAGTAAAGACAATCGCTACAAAACAAGGAGATAGGACTGTCACTGAATATGCCAATCAAATGAAGGCTTTGTGGCAAGAACTTGATCATTATAGGGTGATTAAGCCCAAGTGTCCCGATGATGCAGCAATATTGAAGGAGTTTATTGAACAAGATAAGGTTTATGATTTCCTTGTTGGACTCAATCCAGAATTCGACCTAGTTAGAATTCAGATTCTTGGCAAACAGGAAGTTTCGAGTTTCAATGAAGTGGTGGCACTCATTCGAGGAGAAGAAAGTAGAAGGGAATTGATGCTTGAACCAAAGGGCACTGACAGTTCGGCTTTGGTTGCTAGTAACAGCAATAAGACAGCCACAAATGCAGAAAAAATGCCAACGGCTGAGAATGGGAGGGCCAGCCAAAGACTCAAAACCGTGACTACAAAGACACTCTATGGTGTACTTACTGCAAGAAGGCACGTCATACTCGTGCGCGGTGTTGGAAACTGCATGGAAAACCACCAAGCTAAGAGTGGGGACAAAAGGGAGAGCAACCAAGGAACAATGGACAAGCCCAGATTGCAGTAGTGCAGCCACATGAAGGAACACCACAAAAGATGGGAAATCTCAACCAAGAAGAAATTAAGAGGGTGAGATCACTTATTGGCAACCTTGAAAAACCATAATGTACTTGTTCACTGGCGTATTCAGGTAAACTTCCATTCTCCAATGGATTAAATGTCTCGGATATAGCCTTTACCAGCTCCTAGATTATTGACTCGGGAGCTACCGACCATATAACCCATTTATCAAAAATTTTCTCCTCATATGTCCCATGTCCAAGTAATAGGAAAATAGTCACAGCCGATGGCTCATTGACCACTGTGGCAAGTATAGGTGATGTCAAAATAAGCCCGTCACTGTTGTTAAAAAAATGTTTTCCATGTCCCTAGACTAACCACAAATCTTGTTTCCATCCAAAAGCTCACTAAAGATTTGTATTGTAAAGTGGTTTTTAATCATAGTTATTGTGTATTTGGACAAGGATTCGGGGAGGACGATTGTACATGCTAGAGAACAGGATGGGCTCTACTATCTTGAAACACCAAGTCAACCAAACACTACCAAGGGCATAATATCTCATTCTTTTGTCTCAGAGTTTTTTCCATCCAATAAAGAAAAAGTCTGGCTTCATCATCGCCGACTTGGGCATCCATCAATTAGGATTGTCAAACTTTTGTTTCCTTCTTTATTTAAGGGTCTAGATGTTGAACATTTTCATTGTGAAGTGTGTGAACTTGCTAAACACAAACACGTATCTTTTTCAATCAGTAATAAAAGAAGTTTCATTCCTTTTTATCTCATTCACAGTGATATTTGGGGTCCTTCCACTATTTATAATGTAAATGGGGCTAAATGGTTTGTCATTCATTGATGATTGTACTCGAGTCACCTAGATTTTTTTGCTTAAACAGAATTCCGATGTCAGCATTGTTCTTTCAATTTTTTGTTCTATGATAAAGACTCAATTTGGGGTCAATATCAAAAGATTTAGGTCGGATAATGCTAAGGACTATTTCAATCAAGTCCTAACTCCGTACTTTCAGAAAGCAGGAATAGTACATGAGTCCTCTTGTGTTTGTACTCCACAACAAAATGGAGTAGCAGAACGGAAAAATGGTCATCTCCTTGATTCCACGAGATCCTTCTTGTTTCAGAAAAATGTGTCTAAATCTTTTTTGGGGGAAGCAATTCTTACAGCTGCCCACATCATAAATCATTTGCCTTCTAGAGTCCTACGATTTAAAAATCCAATGGATGCCCTTTCCACATTCTATCCAAACCACAAATAATATTGTTCCTCGTATATTCGGGTGTGTGGCATTTGTTCATGTTCATAGTCAATACAGGGGAAAATTAGATCCAAGGGCATTAAAATGTGTGTTTGTGGGATATTCTTCAACTTAAAAGGGGTATACGTGCTATCATCCCCCATCAAAAAGGTTCTATGTCTCAATTGATGTGACCTTTCATGAACAAGAATCCTATTTCATTATTCCTTATCTTCAGGGGGAGAATTTAGTAATGGAAGATAAGGATAAGGCAGATTTTTTGCTTCTTGATATGCAATCGTCATCACTTCCTGTGTCAAGACAGCCTGTCCCATTGATGTTTCCACCGAGCCCACTGAAAATGTTCCTCCCACCGAGGCCACTAAAAATGTTCCTCCCACCGAGCCCACTGAAAATCCAAATCCCGAGTCTCCTACAAATCCACCTACAAATCCGGCCCTTGATAATGTGAGATTTGACAAAGGCAAGGTGTTCTTGAGAAGAAAGAAGGTTGTCCCTGAATCTGTGCAAGTCCAAGACTCCAACCTAAATCCTGAGAATGAGGTAACAATTTCTAATCCTTCTTTTCAATATGAATCTGAGATAAACAATGATGACCACGACCTCTCTATTGCTATTAGGAAAGGAGTTAGAGAATGCACAAACCGACCCCTATACCCTCTTGCACATTTCCTGTCCTTTAAACACTTTTCACCATCTCATAGAGCCTTCCTTGTCAGCCTAAACACTATTGTCATTCCTACCAATTTATCTGAGGCTTTAACCAATGAAAAATAGAAGCAGGCTATGAATGTGGAGATGGAGGCGTTAAAGAAGAACACAACTTAAGAGTTAGTGAAGTTGCCTGAAGGAAAGAAACCTGTAGGGTGTAAATAGGTTTATACAGTAAAATATAGAGCAGATGGATTAATAGAAAGATACAAGGCTAGGTTGGTGGCCAAGGGTTATACTCAAACCTATGAGATTGATTACCAAGAAATGTTTGCTCTGGTTGCAAAGATGAACACTGTTAGAGTTTTATTATCATTAGCAGCTAATTGTGATTGGGATTTGCAGCAGTTTGATGTCAAGAATGCATTTTTGCATGGAGAAATAGAGGAGGAAATTTATATGGAGGTCCCACCGGGTTATAATAAAGGTTTGGTTGCTGGTACAGTATGTAGACTAAAAAATGCCTTGTATTGACTTAAGCAATCACCGCGAGCATGGTTTGGGAGGTTTGCTAGAGTGATGACAGCTATGGGATATAGACAGAGTCAAGGAGATCACACTTTGTTCATTAAACACTCATCTTTAGGTAAAGTTACAGCCTTATTGGTATATGTTGATGTTTGGCTAACAGGTGATAATGACATTAGGAAGATTGAAGCATTTTCTTGGGATTGAGGTGGCTCATTCTAAGCAAGGCATTTTCATCTCTCAACAGAAGTATGTCACAAATCTACTCAAAGAAACCGGCAAGACAGCATGCAAACCAATGAGTACTCCAATAGAACCGAATCTCAAGCTTGGAGAGGCAGAAGAAGATGCTATGGTAGATAGAGAAATGTATCAACGGTTGGTGGGGAGGCTCATTTATCTTTCTCACACTCGGCAAGATATAGCGTACGCAGTGAGCGTGATTAGTCAGTTCATGCACAATCCAAAAGAAGTTCATTTGCAGGTGGCATACAGAGTTTTGCAATATCTCAAAAGGACACCATGTAGAGGCATCCTTTTCAAGAGGAATGGAGGGTTAGTTCTTGAGGTATACACAGATGCTGACTATGCTGGGTCAGTTGTTGATAGAAGATCAACTTCTGGTTATTGCACCTTCCTTGGTGGAAACATGGTGACATGGAGGAGTAAGAAACAGAATATGGTAGCACGGTCTAGTACTGAGGCAGAGTACCGAGCAATGGCTCAAGGTGTGTGTGAACTACTATGGTTGAAGATTGTTCTAGAGGATCTGAAGATTAAGTGGGATGGCCTTATAAAACTCTATTGTGATAACAAATCCGCAATCAGCATAGCTCACAACACGGTGTAGCATGATCGAACGAAGCACATCGAGATTGACAGACACTTCATCAAGGAAAAGTTGGACAGTGGACTGATCTGTACACCTTATGTATCTACACATGGCCAACTTGCTGATATACTCACCAAGGGTTTAAGTAGTTCAGTGTTTCAAAGTTTTGTATCCAAGCTGGGAATGGTGAATACTAATCACCAGCTTGAGGGGGAGTGTGGGAGAATGTGTTTTACACGTGTACAGACTAAATTAGAAAAGTTTGAATATAATAGTTAGTTTTCCTAGAATTAGGTTGATTTGGTTAGTTTCTGTTTTTGTTGGGATATCCCACAAATTATGGGATGAGATATAACCTAGTAATTGTCATTTCTAAGGCTAGGGCTTCTGTATATAAACCCGGTTGTAATTGTAGTGCAATAATACAATTTCTTCAATTTTTTACTCTCAATTTGCATCAATCAAGAGCCTCCATTTTCTAGGATTCAAGAAAATGCTACCGCATCTACAAACTGACCCACGATGTAAAGTAAAGATAATCTTTTCACCAGTTTCTGATCTTATTTCCACTCCCCAAAAGCCTTTGAATCAAAGTTGTCTAAGAAGTCATCAAAGGTGAGTGATTGTATTTTATGCACAAAAAAACATATTGTAGCCATCCTCAATCCTAAGCAATATCAACTTTGAGCATCAAAACCAAGTGGCAACATTAACTTCGATAGCTTGGTTATTTGATTGGAATGTTATTGTTTACTGAACTAAACATTTTAGGAGTCTGTTGTACATAATAAAATATGATTTGAAGTACCTTATCGGGCAATCTTTCTAAAGCAAGCAGCCACTGGTCACAAAAGCTATCAACAACAGAGGAATAACGACTCTGTCGATGGTCATCTTTAAGGCTGTCGGTGAGTTTGATCCATCTACAGAGGGTTCTAACATACTCTTGTTGAGAGTTTACAACTTGGCAGAAGCTATTGTACCAACGAATGACCTCGGATTCAAGCTGAGCTGCAGCTTGGCGATGGTAAGCGGTGCTCATGTCCATCTTTTGATCTTCGGTTAGATGATTTAACTGCTGTGAAATATGATACTGAGCTTGGTGACTTTCATACATTGTTCTCCACACGTGCAACAGCCTGCAGAATGATAGGACTTGTAAATTGGGTAAGGGAATTGGTAAATTGTTAGTAGTTAGAATTTGGTTAGCAGGCGCTTAGAGTTTCTTAGAAGGGTTAGCAATAGTATAAACAAGAGGGTTAGTAGCTAATGAAAGGCAGACTTTGGTTGACTGGGAATTATCTTGGGAAACCAAGTAGGGACACATGGCAGTTCCTTGAACTACTGTTGGGTTTGTTTCTAGAATCATCTTTCTAGGTTTTTTCCTAGAAATATTCATCAATAAAGATTGATTTCTTTGCAATTCTGAGTAGTTGTGGCTGGATTCTATCACAAGATGATAATGCAAGACATGTAAGGACAGAGGGTAGGCAAGTTTTAACGCAGACTTGTTCAAAAGATTATTCAAAATACATTACTTGTACCAACAAGCATTCTTTACTATCTAATCAACAAGGCCTGGAAAGGTCCGGAAAGTCAAAAAAATAGACTGATATTGCATCTTTACCCAGAAGTTATTGCAACCAACTGAGGATACAACTTATCGTCTATAAGTGCCAATATAGAAGAAGAAGTTCTGCTTATTGACAGTTGGAGATGGCTGAGGTCAGCCTCCAGACTCTCAACACTCAATCGAGTTTTCTCCGTCTTGGTCCACTCATGGTTTTCTTCCTCTTGTTTATGCAGTAATGAGGATTTCTTCTCAAGCTCTATTTTGGTAATCTCTTCCTCCTACACATAATACAATAAACATACCCTGGTTAAAACCATAGAGTGGAAAAAGAAGAAATGTGTGTGTGAGAGAGAAAGAACATAGGTTAATTATGGAACATACACAAATAATGCTAATGAGATATAGAATAGGGGCAAAAAACACAAGAATGATAGGTTTCTTAACTATAGTAGGAAAAAGAAAATAATATAAAACATATTTGTCGCCACAATCCTCAATATTTCCTAGGCTTTTTTGATAGTAGGAATTGGCAATACAAACATGTCAAGTGGTTATTAAAAATTTGCCTCTAAGAAACATTCCATATCTTTCAATCAGCCACAATAAATAGTAGGATGAAATCCAAGGATCACTAAAGGCCCGTTTGGCTTAAACTTATGATTCTGACTCTGCTCTCTCACAACAAATTTGAATAAAAAAAGTTCCCACCAATGGGTTCTCTCACAAAATTTGAATTTAGAATCAAAATCACTGACTTAAAGAACCAAACGGGCCATAAGAACATTTCATGTCTTTCGCCTCACGATATTAGATTGATAAAAAAGAATCAGGAATCATTTCCTATCCAGTTTAACCATCTATTCGCTAGTTTAGCAAATACAAACAGTGCTAGAACTGACTGATTACAAAGGATACTAAAACAGGAGACACACTTGGATTATCTTCACAAAAAGATGTCAGTGAAATCTTCCAATCATGATCTAGCAAGGGTTGTCCCAAGTAAAATACACTAAATAGTGCGTCATAATATCAAATAACATGGGAGAAATTTCTTTGACATGAAAAGGAGTCTACTCTTGTTAAAATAATATTGAATCTAACCTTGAAGGGTTAGTTAAGTGATCAGGCCTCTATTCATATACAATTTAGTTCTGATCCCCAACAATTAACAAGAAGACGACTTTTTGAGATGAAGGATTTATTTTGCCCCCACTAGCTTTAACTTGAAACCCCAAAAGGATCTTAATGTCGGTGCGTGCAACAAGATGACACTCTCAAATCAATAAAATATCTAATTTGGCTGCCTAAATATGCCCACAACCAAATTTTACCTTAACTTCCATGTAAAGTTTTATTTCCTCATCGAGCAACTTTTTAAGCGTGATGCAATGAGCTCCAGGCCTGCATGGCTCAATAGGGCCGCCAGAATCAACAGATTCTCTTGTAAACTGAAGTGACTTGGAAGGCCAACTCCATGACAATGCACTGAAGACCTTTGCAGTATTGCACTTTTTCCCTGTAAATGGTAGTACAAGTAGATTAGCAACTAATAATCGGGCAACCAAAAAGAGGACATGGACGATGTTCATGTAACAATGTTAGCAAAACAACATTTTGAGAGAGAAAACTACTACACATATTATCTACATTACGTCCAATCATCAGGTAAGCAATAACGCCTAATATTTTTAAACAAGCAGAGCCATCAAACACATGTATATAATATCTAACCAAACCATATAACCGTAGTTAAACGAAATTAGTTTTGTCCTTTATCTCATATTTTTCTTATGCACGCATTTTCCTGGTTTTTTTTTTATCCCATCCTACACATGCTTTCTTGATTAAAGCAATCACCAAATAGTAAGAGGGGAGGGTGACTCAATAAACCTGAACCCCGAACCCTGAACCATCTTGACCTTGCCTAAGTCCGGGAAGAGTAAAAAAACATATGATCTAGATGTATATGACGAAGTGTGAATAAAACGTAGATGGATACATAGAGCTTGAGTTTACCCTTGTTTTCTTTGAAATTCTGAGGAAGAAACCTATCACTTCCATTCAACTCCATAAGAACCGTGATCTCCTTTACACCAGCTGATGCTTTCAAGAAATAATCATCCAACTCTTTGGCTATACCCTCCAAGGTCTTCTTGCTCCTCCACAATACCATGGCGGCATGTGTGGTGTCTTTAGCGTACCAGCTTGTCGCTGATGAATTATCATCAACAGAACCTGCAGTTTGTGGTTTCTCAGGAAGTGACCCAGCAACCGTATCTATAGAAGCTTTCTCCTCTGGTTCTTCCTCAAATTCTGACTTAGTCTCCGCCCAGTCTTCCTCCTCCGCTGGTTCCACCATTTCGTCTTTTCCCCAAGGGTATGGTGAAGAAGTCCTAAAAGGGTCCCAGGATTCCCACGACGAGCCCAAGATTGGAGGACATGATGAGGTGTCGAACTGAGCAATCACTTTGATTTCTTCTTCACCAACTTCTTCTTTTTGATCATTGTCCACCTTCCTCAAATCAGGACTAAGGGGAGGTGGCGGTGGAGGTGAAGGCGGTAATGGTGGAGGTGGGGAGGGTGGCAACGCAAAGACTTCAGCAGTATTTTCCATGTCCAAGGACTCGGATTCCGTGAATTGCCGGAGAGTCACTCCGGTATTCTTCAATGCTTTAAAATAAGCCAATTGGGCATCTGCAAATACTCCTCTAAACCCCACTAAATGTTTCATTAGCCTCTTTCTCTGCTTGCAAACCTGCACTCTCTCTTCTCTGTCAATCCTCGACGCAGCACAGCCCATTTCGTTAACTTTACGAGGAAAGAGGAAAGGTTCTATATGCTGTTTAATTTAAATATAAATATAGCTGATAGACTCCTCTCTCCTAGGACCAGCTCTTACCAATTGAGAGCGTAAATCCTAAAATCACTATCATATTAAGAGAAGACAATGCTAAAAGAACCTCCACATCCAAAAACTTTGAGCTTCACCAGGCCGCAGCTGAATGTCTTCCTCTAAGTTAACATATTTCCAGTTCTTCTCACAAACTATCAAGCCCTCACTCCTCATAACCACAAGAACACAAATGTCTTATATGGGTTTCTAATTTGGCAAGGATCCTTATCAGTAACAACACTACTCCTACCATAGGTTTATACTATTACGATTCTCCAACTATATTGCCACCCATTTCTTGCAGTTCAAAGACCTCAAAGATAACAAAAGGATTTTAGTATAAAAGGCAAAAACCCATCTCCAGTTTAAGTAAAAGGTAACGAATCTGCAACAAGAAGTACGAAATGAATGTCTTTGTTCTTCCAAAAATATCTCTAGTCAACTAAACAAAAGCTTAGTACTCAAGGCCAAGAATCAAACTCACACTTTTACGTACCTCCAAATCCTGAACCTGACAATGTCTGAGGCTTCTTCAGAAACAGACGAAGAAAAGATCACCAAACAAACACAATCTCAAAAGCCCAGAAAGCACAAAGCTAAGATCTTTGTCCTAAGAAGAATGCAAGGGAAAACAAAAATGGAAGATGGGGTTTCCTTTTTTGTTTTTTTGTTTTTACCTTAGGAAGAGAGAAAAAAGACAAGGAAAAACAATGGTCCCAACATGGGAAACTGTAAGAGCAGAAACCTGCAAAACATAAGAGAGACTAGAAGAAGAAGAGATTTTCGGTTTCTAAAAACGCCAATACAACAAGAATTCAGAGGAGAGAAAAGAATTAGAGAAAAACTTGAAGGAAGACGAACCCCACAAAACCCTGTCTCCCTTTCATGCTTTTAAGGGGGGAGAGAGAGAGAGAGAGAGAGAGAGACAGAGAAGAAAGTGCTCGAGACCCAAGAGCAGAGAGAACTCAGAAGCATCCAAAGCGAGAAGACAAGTACATTTTAGCACAAACGCATTATTCTTATTTATTTTCTTTCTTTTTCTTGAGACAGTCACATAAACATTATTATAATTTATAGCCCTACCAGATGAGAGCACATTTATTATCAGAGAAAAAAAAGCACATTTATTATCAGAGAAAAAAAAGCACATTTATTACTTTTTTGGCTTTTGGCCTTCAACCTCATTATTGTATTACTTATTAACTAAGCAACTAAAAGCATGTTTTGCTTAAGGTGGGTTTGGTATTTGATTTTAAGAGAGAAAAAGCACTTAAAATCTAAAATGTTATTTGGAAAAATAGATTTTTGAATAATTTTCTTCCAATCTGAAGCTAAAAGCAGAATCAGCCTAAAGACTGATTCCGGTTTCAGCTTATGCGGGAATCAGTTTTGATAATTTAATGAAACTTTTTATTTCCAATTTTACCCTTAATGAAATCTGAAATTTACCACCTCAGACTAACATTTTCATTTCAGCACTAATCTCCTCAACTCCTCCACTTTCCTCCTCTCTTGTATCTCTCCCGTCCTCCTCTGCGAAAATTTTTTTAGGAGTTCTATCCTCTCTCCTCCTCTCCGTTCGAAGCGATCTTCCCCGGCTCCGTTTGCCGGTCTATCTCTCCGTTCGCCGGTCTCTCTCCGTTGGCCTGTCAGAGCTCATTTGGTTTCTCCTCCGCGTGATTGTCTGTTTGTAGGTCTCCCATCTCCTCCTCCGACTGCTCGTCTCTCGTCATCAGATCAAGAGGTAAGCCTCTCTAACCGCATGAAATTATTTTTAGTTTGAACATTTGGATTTGGTTCTGATTTTTAGTCCGCATGTATTTTGGGTTTTAGGGTTCTAATTTTTTGCATCAAAGAAAAACGGTTGAGCATTGTTGAAAGTCGGTTTGCCGGTATCCCATCTCCTCCTCCGACTGCCCATCATCACATCAAGAGGTAAGCCTCTATAAGTGCTCGATTTTTAGTGTGGCTTTAGATTGGGTTTTGATTTTTTGTGCGGAAATGGGTTTATGGTTCTGATTTTCTGTAAATTTTGTACATTGTTGAAAGTTGGATGACACCTAACCAAGAAAATGAAATGGGCCACTAACGGAATCAGCAACAACGAAAAAAAAATTAAGTTTATGCTTGTTTTAGCACAAGTACTTGTACATTGTTGAAAGTTCCTCTGTAAGTGCTCGAGAATTGATTGTTTTAGCACTCATATGTTAAGTTAAAGCATTTTGTATAAGTGGAAGCTGATGCATATGCTTGAATTGAGTAGAAGTCTGGAATATCGTTTATGCTTTCGGTGTAATGTACATTTTCGTACTCATTTTTCTCATTTGTTGTTGTTTGCTCTTGTCGTTCGTTTTCCATATGTGACATTACCCTCCTTTGATGTATTGTATTCATGATTCATGTCATTTTTCAAGATTTTCAGTTATTGATGTTTATGCATTTCGCCATTCCCTGAATTTATTCTTTCCTTTCTCGTTTCTTACGTGCAATAACGTCTCCAAGTCGTAGTGCCTTTCACTATCGAAGTTTAACATGTGGCTTTTTAGTGTTTCTCGGCCCAAAGTTGTGTCTCTGGATGCCTTCCATGAATAAGAAATAAGACAAAGTGATCATTAGGCACAATTGTTGTCAATCAAATTAGCATTCTATTCTTGATTAGCAATTTTTTCGGTCAAGTATCTAGGAGTAGAAGCTATGATTAGCTTGGCTATTGATTGAGTGTTCAAATTGGAAATAAGGTTAGTATTACCCTTATTATTCTTTTTGTAAATTAAAGCACGAAGGCTCACATTGTTTTAGACTTTCAGTTATCAATTCGCAAATGGAGGGTACATGTTCCAGTATGAAGATCATGTTCCAACTACAATAGCACCAGAAGATCAGGTGCCATTTAGCAGAAGAAAACGTGTGCCAACCCAAAATGTGATAGCTGCTTGTGATTTCAGTATGAAATTTATATATGCATATGCAGGTTGGGAAGGTAGTGCCCATGATACTAGAATATTCTTATCAGCACTACATAACTGACATTTGAAATTTCCAAAACCACCTGAAGGTTAAAACATTGTCTATATTTTATATATATATGTTTTACATTTTATTAATTCTTGTGTTTTTATTTTAATAGGTAAATATTATTTGGTTGACGCGGGCTATCCACAATTGAAAGGATTTCTTGGACCTTAAAAAAGGAGAACGATACCATTTACCACAATTTTGAATGGGTCGTCGACCAATAGGCAGTAAAGAGGTATTCAACCAAGCACATTCTTCTCTTCGAAGTGTCATTGAACGCACTTTTGGTGTTTGGAAGAAAAAATGAAAAATTTTGAGAGACATGCCTAATTATTCATTTAAGAAGCAAGTAAAAATAATTATAGCAACAATGGCGCTTCATAACTATATTAGGATGCATGATCAGTGTGATCGACATTTTCAAGAAGTCGAGGAAAATCTAGATGTTTTCGCTTATGAAGAACATCAACTGGAGGACAATGTAGAAGAAGATGAAGCTTCACTATCACAAGAAATGGTTGAAGTATGAAATCAAATTGTGACACGTTTAATGAACACGACTTAATTCTTTTAATGGCTCTGTCAGTTTTTGAACATGAAATGTACTTTTTTGTTCAATAAATTGATTACTCACTAATGCTTCTTTTAGTTGTAACTATATTGTGAATGAAGAAATGAAAACAAAAAAGAATTAATTATCATAAATTTATTGTTAAAAAACTCAAAATCATAGCATTATGTTTTTTTTAAGTTAAATAAATATTTCTAAATACCAAAACAATTATATATATTTAACTTTCATACTATGTCTATTTTGGTCATTTTACATATCCATAGCAATTCAACATTAAAATTTACTAAACGCTATTACATTGATTTTAGAGCACAGCTACTATAATTACAGTTTATCAAACACTCAGTTGCTTCTTGTAACAGCTGCTTCTTCCTTCAGTACAACTAAAAGTAATTTTTCTAAAATCCGCAGCACTACCAAACTAAGCCTTAGGCTAGTCTAACCAAGTGTTTCGTTTGACTACCACGTGAGCAAGAGAGAGAGAAACAGTGAAGAAAAAAAAATTATTTTTGCATGAATATCAAAGAATAGTTATTCGCCAATCGGCAGTCTATGGATTTGGGAAAGAATGTGTAAAACATTCTTTAATATATGATGTAAGAGATTATCTTGCGCAAATGTTAAATTTAGAGCATTTTTAATGCAATATTATAATTGATGTGTTAATTATAAATTTAATATTTGAATGTAGAAATCACTTTTCAATTTAATGTTATTTATTTTGACAATTTTCCTATATGTTATAAGTATAACATATGAGAAATTTGGTATTTAATTACTATTGATTTAAATATTTATTTTTCATGTAATTATTATAATTTTTACATTTTTAATTATTTTAAAAATAAAAGGTTACTTTTACAACTTTTAAAGCTCAATAATTATAAAAAAAAATAGATTTAGCATTTTAAATAGTATTATACATTAGAGTAAAAATAAAAATAACATATCATATTACACTTTTTGTGTAAAATATACAATTAACATTAACATTTACATTAAAAATCGTCTTAATGTAAAAGTTAATACTAATGCTATATCTATCTTTGAAAAGAAAATATATATAAATACAAATATTACATCAATATGATATATGATGCTATCTCAAATATATATTTCTACTTTATGGCACAATTAGTAAGCTTTGTGTTTATAAAATTGAATTTTTAATTCTTATATAACTTAAAATTGTAATATTTTTAGAATTTTTAAAATAATTCGTCAACACGTCAATCATTTATAAAATATAAGAACCAAATGCTAAAATTTTGCGTTTCCAGTTAAAAAAAAAAAAGCTAAAATTTGGCCAATCTTATGCCTGTTGTGAAATTTAACACCAGTATATAACATAAACGAAATTCACTATAAAAACAACACTACATTTGAGTCATTTTCTTTTCTAAAAAAATTTAATATTGGGACATTAATTTAGCAATGTATTAGGTGACATTAATTTAGCAATGTATTAGATGATATCAGACCTATTCAATGGCAAAGTTATTTTCACACAAAAATTTTTGAAAATGAGATATTTGATGTGTTATCTATTCTGTGCTTCAATGCATAATGTTATTTTAACTATAATGTTTAGGTTGAAAAAAACAAATAAAAACAAAGGCTATCTCTCTCTCTCTAAAACTTTTTCTCCTATTTCTCTATAAGTTTCTCTGCCGGCCTTTTCTCTTTGGCTGAAAGGTTCGACGTATCGTCGGACCTCTAGCTATAAAAGTCTCATCCCTGACTTCGTAGTGAGACGATCTACAAGGTGATGAATTCCGTGTAACTAGAGGAGGTGGCGCTTCGTCAGATCTAGCCCGTGAGGATATGAGTTTCTCAGTGGCTTTACACGATCTTCGGAGAGTGTTCGCCGGCCATAGACTTTGGAAACTCATGGACAAACTTAGGGGAGTTACTTGCTCGTGGTGTTCACACCATCTCCAACCAGATCTATCATGTATAGGTTGTGGATTTGTACATAGTTTTTTGTATTTTGCTCTTTATTTTGTTGTAATAATGGCGATGGTTTCCCCATCCCCCGGTGTGTTCCTCCAGCTAGAAGGTGGTTTCTCCACCTCTCTCAGCCTGTGGTGTTTTCTCCCTCAACTAACGGTTGGCTTTCCCATCACTGCTAGTCTGAGGTATGTGTGTGAAGTCCATTACAGCACTAGGATCTGGCTCACTTTGAGTCGATTTTCCGTGGCCAAATGTTATAGAACCACTTTTGGGAGGTGACCTCCCTATTATTGGATTAGAGATGCGTTTTTAATGTCTAGTCTTAAGAGTGGCACCCATTCTTATGGCTTTGGTACAGTCATGTGTTCTAGCCATTTAGTGGCCTTTTAATAAAATTGCCATAGCTACCTTTAAAAAAAATTATAATGTTTAGGTTCATTTGGCATGGCCTTTGTTTTTGTTTCTTTTTTTTTAGGAAAATTTTCATTTAAACAAAGAAACAAATAATACAACGCAATGTTAATGACCCTTGAGAGAAAATTTTTCATTGTTTTTGCTTTTAGTCCGTAAAAGAATAGAACTAAATAATGTGGAAGCAAGTGTTTGGAATCACACTTTTAAAAGAGTTTATATGAGTCAAAATGGTTTTTAAATTTCATAATAACCAATAAAAATGTAAGAAATAAGTTCTTGCTGCCTTATTTAAACTTTGGTACATATTTTAAAGTCTATTCGAGAAAGAGCCTTTTCAAAAAAAATACCAAAATATGACTATATCATAGTTGATGTTAAATTTGATATCAAGTTTAACATAAATTAATTTTAACAAAAAAATAAAACTGTACTTAAATCTTCCACAGTAAGATTAAATAAAATAATATATATATATATATATATATGATTCAAAGGTTTCAAGCATGTATGTTTGAAAAGTATATGTACGTATAAATATTAAAGAGAACCGAGGTTGTAGCTAATAACCCTATTCTTGAGTATTTAAGTTTTAAAATGTTGTAACAGTCCGTGCAAGAAATATACGAATTTCTAAATATGGCGATTTAAATGATTGGTTTTAGAAAGATTTTAAGAAGTACTTGAATTTAAGATTTCTCATGAATTCTGGTTTTAAAGTCATATTAGATGTTCGATTGAATTGACTAGTTTTAAAAAGACTTTTAAAAAGTATTTGAAACAAGAGTTCAAACGTCATTCAGTTTAAAAGATATTTTGAGAAGATTGGGACAATTTTTAGACAGAAAACTGAGAGTGAGAGACTAAAAACACAATTATGTGTGAGAGAGAAATAAACATAAGTGAGTGATTGATTGATTCTCTATAATCTTACTCAAAGTACAGTGAAAATTTGTGACGGCAAAAATAAGACGTAGCAAAACTTTGATGAAGCTATATAAAAATTTATTGGTGTGACTATGCTTAATTTTCTTTCTCGGTATTCGAAATAGATCTCACCTAATTTCCTAACATCTGGCAAGCTCTGCATTGTTATTCCTCGAACTTCTTGTTGCATACCCTTTCCGTTCTATGGGTATTATATATGGATGGTGAGGATGGAAGACGCGATTCTTTTCTTCAACTAACAAAAAAAATACAGCTACAAGCGTATGAAGTTTTATTTGCACATACAAAGTTGTTAAACTTTTGCCCTTGTACAATTCAATGCTTTAGCGACCTGAAATCCTCGAGACAGAGGCAGTAGCAGTGGAAGTTGAAGTGTCTCCTCTGGGCCTCCGATTGGCATCAACGAAGACAGGCTTAGTGAGTGGCCTGGCCTCAAATGAGTCCTTACTTTTGAGCAAAACGACAACTTCAGACATCGTAGGCCTTGTGGCAGGTGATGGCTGTATGCACATAAGGGCAATCTCTATTAATCTTTTCATTGTTTCTGCTTCATACTCCTCTGGGTCCAAGCATTCATCCACCAACTCAATGTGGCTGTTTCTCCCACATGCCTAATTTTGCACAGTTATATATTTCAACAAATTAGTTTAAGAAAATTAATATGCAATAGAAGAAAATTATAATGTAATATCTAAAGAGAGGCCAGCCTAATAGTCAATATTTTGGGAGATTTGGTAATCTAACAATATATTCTCAGCTTATAAATACTATGTAGTCACACTTTCCAGTTTGTTAATTAACATCACAATATGTTAGGCCATCTTCTTATGGAGGATAGAAAATGTCTTAAAATTAATATAAAATTCATTGTCGACCTAATCGCTCACTTGAATTTAAACTTTATTGAACAACTAAAGTTTATAGTTTTTACGACGTACATTATTATTCTTTTTTTTTTTTTTTTTTTTTGCACTATTTACTCAAACAACACACGAACTTATAATAATTTCATTTAAGCGTGGGAAAATTCACATCTTTAATTTCGAAAACACAAATTTATTGTAGTAAAATGCAATTATATGTACATGTGTATGTATGCACGTGCAGAAAGAGCTCAACCATAAAGCCACTTACGCAATTACTTAAGCCCCAGGTTGAGCCAAGGCCCCAAATTATAAATGAGGTCATTTTTCAAAAGTTCAATTAAAGGTTCTTTTTATTTTAAAAATTATAGAAAAATAAATTTGTATTTGCTATATTTAATCTAGAAATTACAAATGAGATCAAAAAATTATCCATTTTTTAAAAAAAAAGGATGTGTGATTTGGGCAAAAAAAAAAAAAAAAGATAATTTGAAAATGTCAATAAGAATTACTAAATACAATCATTTGAAGGATTTTTTTAGACTTAATTATTTTGTTTACATAATTGATCAAGATATTTCTTTATTTATAAGTAGATTTTAAGCAATTCTAAGTCTGTGAAATTATTTTTGAGTTATTCTTCAACTTCCAGAAACTAAAGTCAATGGATAGAAAAAGGTAGGGAAAAAAAAAAAAGCTTTGTTTGAATCTTGGAGATGTTCTAAATTATGATGGCAGACTTATCTTAATTCTGAAAAAAAGGAGTTTTCTTCTCTAAAAAAGGAAAACTGAAAGGTCACTTAAAACTTTGCCTAAAATTATTTTAACCTGCCCAAAGTATGTACTCATATATATATATATATGTATATATATACGTTTTGTATATATGCATGCAAAATGCTTAAAAGTTGTGCATATATGTAAATATACCCGTTCAAGGAGGAATTCACCAACAGGATCGCCCTCTTTAATTTCATTGCTCTTTTGGCCACTTATAATTTCAAGCACAACAACGCCATAGCTATAGACATCAGCCTTCTCCGACAACTGCCCATGGATTGAATATTCGGGAGCTGTGTACCCCCTAATTCATGAAAACCCAAAACCAACAAATTAAAATGCACTTTTATAAACCAAATAATATTCATTATTCGGGTCTGGAAACAAAATACGTACAAAAGGAGTTTGCATGTGCTTTAAATTTCTTAGATCCGTTTTAAGCAATTTACCAAACTTAATTAAAATTCAATTAATAAAATTACTAAATGTGTAAATTAAAATAGAACACAGGTAATTCTTACGTGGTTCGGAAACACTTATATTTAATGCTTAACTAGTAAACAATCCACTAAGTTATACGGAAGTTCTAAGAAATCTATCATAGTGCTGAAATTTGTTTTGATTTCTTGAGTATTAATGTTGTCATAAAATGCTAAAGTACAAAATAAAGCTAACAAAATTGATGTTGTGTAAGGGAAGTGATCAAGTATAATTTGGATAATCAGTTGAGACTTACAAAGTTCCTGCAAATTTGGTGCTGAGATGAGTTTGATCTTCCGGTAAAGGCCTTGCTAACCCGAAATCAGCAATTTTGGGATGAAAATCATTGTCTAAGAGAATGTTACTAGTTTTGATATCTCTGTGTATTATACAAATGTGGAATTCCTCGTGTAGATAAGCAAGACCTCTAGCTGTTCCCATGATTATATCATGTCTTTGTGTCCACCTCAGTGAGCCTCTTCTTTCACCTATTTTTATTTTATAATTTCTGTTGTGTGAGAAAATATGAGTGACATGTGAAACAACGACAGCATGACACGTGGCCCTATTTTTCCTCAAAAGGCGACAACCTTCGACGCTTGAAGCTTGCTTCCCCTCTACGCTACGAAGAAGGCCTGACTTAGGGCATCGACCCGGCATACCGTCGACCAGTCATGCCGTCGATCTTATGGCAACAAAATTCCTATGTCTGGAAAGGGTCGACTGCCAGGAAGGACATGAGGTCTATGCAGCACAGACGATGAGGGGAGTACTCTTCAGAAAGGAGCCTGACATCACAAGTTGCGTCCGGGAATGGAAGACGTCTGTAGAACAGATATTAATTGCAATCTCCTAAACCGCCCTACAGTGGGCAGTGAAGGATTACAGGAATTCACAGAGCCGTAATGGAAGACCAATTGGCAGAGTGAATAGTTAAAAAGGTGATTAGTGGGCTACGGTCTGGGCCTAAAAAGGTAGGCCACTCGAGTACTTCAACCTACAAAGGAAAACCGCCCACGAAGGAACCTTGAGCTATAAAAGGGACAAAGCCCCATACACGAAAGGGGGAGATTGGCTTCTTTAGTATGAAATCAGAGGAAGAATATACATGCATGTAAATTGTAAAAGTCCAAAAAGAAATACAGTACGCAAGTGGATGTAGCTCTTCATTAACAGAGTGAACCACTATAAATTTTGTGTGTCCTCTCATTCAAGCATGACACTCATGCTTCCAAGAATACAACAAACACTTCATAGCCTAATTTTAAATATACAGTTAATTTCCAATCGGTAACCCAACGGGATACTAGTGGGTAACCCGGCGTATTTTTGTTGACGAAATTTAGCCGTCAACAATTGGCGACTCCACTGGGGACCGAACCCAGAATCTCTGGTTCATACGTTTGTTAACATGCCTCCAAGAAGAAGAATTGAGGCCACCAACCAAGGCAGCCAGATGGAAGAAACTGCCACACACCCGGCGAACGACGGGATGGAAGAAGACCCACCTCCGGTTAGGAATGGAGTCCCACCCCCAGACGTGCCGTGACCAGACCCTGTGCAGATGCATGCCCAGCTCACTACTGTGACCGACCTGGTGCGGGGACTGATGACTGTCGTTGAGCGCTTGGATGGAAGAAACTCGATGCCGCCTGATTAGTGCATGAAAATGCACCTTAAATACTGCTTTTGATTATATAATATTAAAATATTTAAGCTTTAATTAAACAATTTCATTATTTTTATTCAGAATATTTTTCATTGGAATTTATTTAGTTGTTGCTTGATTATTTACAGATAAAAAGCAGTGTGAAAAGCTACACTAAAATAAGCCATGAAAGCCATATTTTCAACGACCCTGAGCCAAGCCGTTCAGCTAAGCCGAGTCAAAGCCACCGAGCCAAGCCACTGCACAGTCAGCGTGAAAATCCGTGCCCATTTCTCTGCCATCGTGCACCTCGCGCGTCAACAGCACGCGGCACCTCAGGGAGCGCGTCCCATGCACGTGCGTTCTCCAGCGCGTTCCAAGGCTTTCCTCGCATGGGCCCCGCGACTCAGTGCGCCAGCCTCCTCCTTTCCTCTGCGCGCGACATCTGTCCCATAAGCTGTCTCCACTCTGACCGCGCTAGCAGAGGCCAGCCACTCCGAACGCGACACGTGGCGAGATTGACTCCTTTCATCCAATTTCCCATGCTGAATCTGAATTTCTCCTTCCAAATCTGAGTAAATTGGCCGGATTTCTTCCCCAAATTTCATATATGATTTCTCCAAATTTATGTGTAATTTTATTTTGTTTCATTTTCTTTTGTAATTTTCTAGTCTTACAATTTATTTCCTTATTTGACAGGCAACCTCTGAACACTATAAATAGAGAGGTTGGCCTAAGGTTTTTAGAGGTTTTTAATATTCAGTTTTCTGTCGTCTTGCTGTCAGTCTCATATTTTCTCTCTAGAACTTGTGAGAATGTTTGCAAGCTAGGCTAGAGTTCTCTTGGTGAGGTTAGAGATGAACTTCTGTTGAGCGACCCAATTTAGAGTTTTGATTCCTTGTGCTGTAAAGTTCAACATCTGAATGAATTAAATCTTATCTATTTTTCTATTACTTTTTAAAATATTGTGTGCCAATTTTTATATAAGTCCAGTCACGCTTTTCTTATGTAATTCTGTCATGCAATGTTTTGTTATTCAAATTATTTTACAAATTGTCTTTTACTGTAATATTGTCAGATTGATATATTGTCGATTTTAGATAACTTGTAATAATAATATTTTCAGAGTCAACATAGAGATTTAATTTATTCTGTTCTTTTATTTTGTGAATCAAAACTGGAATTGGTGAACGAAACATTAGAAATTCTCGACACCTTACCGTTTTTATTATTGAATTTTCTTCATACAAATTCCTTCATTTCTAATTTATTTGCAACAAAATCTCAAAAATTATTCTTTTTCTTTAATTCACTTTTCTTTAAAACTCTTATTCTATTAGTCTTTCTTGTTATTTTGTTATCTCTCTATGGATACGATCGCCCTTCTACACTACATTGACCGCTTGTGAACATCACTTTTGGGCGTTAATCAAATTTTGGCGCCGTTGCCGGGAAGATGCTATTAGCAAGACTGATCAGTAGATTTTTGAGTCAAAGAGGTAAGTGCATTTTTTTTTAATATTACTTAATTTCTCTTTCTTGATTTGCGTGATTTGTTGTTAGCTCGTATTAAAAAAAAAAAAAAAACTTTTGTCGCTCGTGTTTTCATTTACTGATTTCTTTAGATTAGTTTATTAGTTGTTAAGCTCTTACCTTCTTTCTTTCCTTCATTTTCGTTTTAGTCCATTTGTTTGCTAGTTATCAACTTAAGTCTCCGTGAATTTGCTGTTTTCCTTTCTTCTGTTTCTTTTGTTTCGTCATTTTTTTTTTCTTTTGTCATCCCTTAATCGAAACCAAAAAAACAAAAAAAATCCCTTTATCATTTTTTTATTTTATTTCTGTAGTTTTGGTTGCTGAAAAAAATCTCACACCTTTAGGATTTACTTTTATTGTTAATTTTATTTTCCTTTTTAGTTTTAGAATTGACTGTGATTTGATTTTGTAATCTTTTATTTTTGATAAATTAGGATTTTATTTTGTTTCCTCATTTGTATACTTTAATTGTTGATTCTTATATTGTTGCCTAATTTAATTTTTACTTTTATAGTTTCATTAATTCTTAGGATTATAACTAGGATTGTAATTAATTGACTATTCTTAATATAGGAATTTCATAATTTGGTAGATTTAGGCTTTTGACTTTAGGAATAGTTTCCATTAATTAGATTACATTTCATAATTTACTCAATAAAATTTAATAATTGATTTTGAGAATAATTGTGTGGTTACGTGAAAAGTATAATTTGAGGGAGTTCTGTCTAGGAAAGTTGGTACTTAAGTGGGCCTCACCCCACCAATCTTTCCTGGGAACGTTGCTCTGTCTAGGAGACTATTCATTGAGCCAAGAGCTATAGTCTTTCCTGAGAGCACTCTCGGTGGTTACAATTTACGTTGCTATATAATTATTTTCTTTTGTTTTGATTAAAAATTTAAAAAAACAAAACAAAAAAAAATATTAAAAAAAAGGGCCGCTTAGGGTGAATACATCGGTATAGAGACGAACTAGGGAGATTTACTCAACGTCCAGATTTATAAACCCCTAGTGAAATTCTATCCGACTCATCTTCTACGTCTCCGTCTTCGCACTCGTCGTTGGAATTCACATTTCAAAATCTATTCGCAATGGCACAACACGAGGAAGTTCAGTAGAGGACGTTGCAAGATTACTTGCACCCAACGCGAACATCCACCCCATCTTGCATCATGTTCCCGCCAAATGCACCGCCTACGGATTTCAAGCTGGGCATGATTGCAGTTCTCCAAATCTTTCACGGATTAGAGAACGAGAATCCATATGTACACTTTCTCTATAAAACATGTTCATTTCTCTATAAAACATGTATATTTCTTCTTTATAATGAGTAGATTTCCTCTTAAAATATGTACATTTTCTTTTATGGTAAAATATACAACATATACATATTTTAAGAGGAAATATACACATTTTAAAGAAGAAATATACATGTTTCAAAGAAAAAAGTACACAGTCCGGTGCCGGACTGGAGACTTTACCTATATATATATATATGAAATTAGATTACAATGGGCCTTTCATGGGGTGGCCCATTGTGGGCTTATATGGGCCGCATTAAGTGGGCCTTACATAGGTTGGGACGGGCTGGCCCATGTTGGGCTTGTTCGAACCTGCACAACACGGCCTAAGCCCAGCCTGGCCCATGAATTTTCATGGGCCATGAATTTTCAAGGCACGGCCTAGCCCAACAAAATTGGTGGGCTGAGCTAGGCTAGCTCGGCCCATGGGCCGGCCCATGTTGGGCCTGTTCCGGCACTGCCCAAGCTCGGCCTGGCCCATGAATTTTCATGGGTCGTGCTGGGTCGGCCCATGAAATGAGAAATTGTAGCCTAGCCCAACCCACCAATTTTGCTGGGCTGGGCCGTACTTTGAACAGTATCGTGTTAGGTCAGCCCAGCCTGGCATTGTACCAGGATGGGCCCGAGCAGGCCCATGGACATCGGCCCATAGTTGCATCTGTAATAGAGTTTAGAATAGGGGGTGTAAATATTATCAATTTCCGTTAAGGAGATGAAACTGTTATTTTAGCAAAACACAAAGGTGTCAATGTAAATTTCCCAAGTCTAAATAGAAGTTTGTACATGTTATATAATAATAAATACACAAATTTCTCTAAAGACTCTGTGGCATTCGAAACTAGAGGCATCATTTTGGGCTAGACCGATTGGGAAAGCCTAAAGCAAAAACTTTTTAGATCGGTCCGGCCCAACCCACTTAAATATGCGAATCAGATCGGACCAGGTCGAAAGTTTTAAGTTC